GTAGCGAAGGGAGAAGAAAGAAAGCGAGTGAAAAAGAGCGCTAAAAAGAGGAGACAAGAACGTACATGGTTCCCTCACTAAAGAAGGTGTTTTAAGCACGAAAGATATCCCTATATAACGGCCTAGCTGTTCTTGACGGAATCAATAAATTGTTAGGGTAATAGATTCACGCGGCAATAAACACCGATGCCGAGTTCATTCGATCAATACTTAGAAGTGCAGTTCACGACCCCCCGAAGTACGCGCGAAATCCCGCAAACCAATCGGAGACCGGGTGTCCTAACGATTTGGCAAGCGCCAACGTTCCAATGCACATTAGGAACAAGTAGCAGCACTTGATTCGTTCTTAGGATCCCGAATCCGGGCTCGGAGCTTACCACTCTATTCCAGGCCGTCACATAGGATGCGTACATAGACGACTCGCTGAAGTTGCGGCTAAACTCGGTCAGCCGGTCCCTGTCGTCCAGGTACATGGGTGGGCTCTGCGCGGGTCTACCATGGGGACGAGCAGGCCGGACCACGCATGGCACCCAACCTCTGACAGTGCGCGCGCCACAAACCGCATGCGGCTCTTCTTTTCTTCCTCTCATCCGCAGCGCACGGCCGGTTTATCCTCAATAAACTGACGAAACCCACCACGAGGAATTGCGTCCACGAAACAGATGGTACGTTGCTCTATAAATGAAATTGTTTCATGTTCTCAATATGCTTACAAATAGTTTGCAAAATTACTCATTCATATAATCAAGGAAATAATAATAAGCTCACTGATCTCCCTGCCACGAAGGAAACGACGAGCACTCCATGGAACGTACCCACAACGGGAGCCGCGGCCACACGAAGGTAAATATAACTACTTTAAATAATTTAGGAAATTAAACGGTGGAGCTGATGACATCGGCTTTACCTTGGTCACTGCTTGGCTGTTTTCCTCGCCATCGCCGATCATTCCAGAATGAATGCGAGACTCTCAGCTTCTCCAGGACGGTTATCAGCCGCGGGTGATCCCCTCGGCATCTCCTGAATCATTCCTGCCAGACCTTTGCCTTTGTTCTCCTTCTTTCCACCCCAGCTTCATTCTCTCCATGCCACGACCCTTTGTATACCAGGCTCAATATAATTATCCATAGTGTTTCTTGAAGATACATCTGCGGGAACTCTGGCGCTAACGAGAGCTGCAATACAAGGCACTTCAGCGAGCATGAGAATTATGGGTAGTATACACAACGTTGTCTTACCTTCGTACACTGTAAATTTTCGGGTCCGTTTGAATCACAGCTGCTTTGTCACAGACGGCAACCAGCAAATGTTTACCAGTTGCGTTTCACAACCCCAACCTTTTAGGCTCACCATTTCAAATCGGCTCACGAAGTTCGCAAATCGTCTATTCTTCAATTCGAAACAAAACCAAAACACAGCAATAAGCTAAGCCACAAGTGTGGTTCGAAACCCGCAGGCATGGGCACTAAGCAAATTTGTGTACTACCAATCATTCGCAAAGTCGCTGAACGAACGCAACGCCAGTCTCTGCTTTAGTTAATTTTGTTAATTTTAGGAAACTCTATGCAATTATTTGTAGGTGGCGTTGGATAAACTCGTTACTAGGCTTTCCTTTCACCTATTTGGGTCTCTCGCCTTGCTCCCCTCTCGTCAGGCTTTGCCCTCGCAGCTGGGCTTGAAAGCGTGGACGACAGATCTTTAGGCTTGTACATCGACAATAAACAGCTCCAGTGTTCAAATGATGATCGATTTGATCATTGAATGATATGTGGTGTTTAACGTCTCAAAACCACCATATTATTATAAGATACGCCATAGTAGAAGGCTCCGGAAATTTCGACCTGGGTTCTTTAACGTGCACCCAAATCTAAGCACACGGGCCTACAGCATTTTCGCTTCCATAGAAAATGCAGCCGCCGCAGCCGGGATTTTATCCCGTGACCTGTAGGTTCGTTGTTCAAATGTTGCGCACAAAGGAAGAGAGAAGTTTCATTCTGAATTCGCAAGTTTCATCGCCTATAGGGGGCGCGCAGGGTGGTTCGATATGGTGCCCGCAGTGAGTATCGCTCAAGGTCGGAGTCGCTTAGCACATATGCGGCCTGCGCTGTTTTTTTTTTTTTTTTTTTATGGCTTTGCGATGGCTTTACCCTTTCTGCCGTCGCGTAATATGCGTGACTTATACGCTTTACAAACTCGGATACGATGCCTCAAAGAGGTCCTGAATTCCAAGCACATCACTTGTGGCGTGAAGGTCTGTAGCCGATATTTTTGACGCATTTTTGAAAAAACGTCTCAGCTTTGCTGCAAACGCGGAGCAATGAACGCGATAGCACCAAATCGGAAGGTCAGTGCCGAATGGCAAGCAGATAAGAACGTGCCCCGCGTTTCTCACGCAAAATGAGGCACGAAACGTACTCACAAGTACAGGCGGCCGCGAATAAGCGTCTCAGTCGTTATTTCGCTGTGTCTAAAAAACGCACTTTTTTCGCAAACGAAGATTGCGCAACGACTGCAGGGCTGCAGGGCCCTTTGTGCGTCCAGTAACTACAACAGAAACGATCTAGTGAAAGCCCAACGCCAGCCAAGACGTACATACTTGAGACGTACATGCACATGCTATGAACGCCGCTGCCCCACCGCTACTACAAATACTCTTTGAAAAAATTACGCTGGTGGCCGCGGAGCGGCGTTACAGTCTACGGAACTTGCGAATACCGTGCCGAAATCGGTGCATGAAAGACAGCGTATACGTCACGCGTTTCAAAGTGCTAATAGAACGGCAGTTCTACTCCTTTTGGTAATATATATATATATATATATATATATATATATATATATATATATATATTATATATATATATATATATATATATATATATATATATATATATATATATATATATATATATATATATATATATATATATATATCAGAACGTTTATTTGAAAAAAAAAGAAAAAATAGATACGGGGAGCATGTGGGTGGAGCCCCTATTCCAAAGCTCCACTGGCTTTAGCGGCCCGCTGCGCCTGGTCGAGGAGCGATAGTTGCACTTCCAGATCCTCGCTGGCGAGCAAAGTCTCCCACTGCTCCCTTGCGGAAATTTTGCTGGCTATTTGCGGCGAGTTAATTTCGGTTGGCCTTTTCCCTCCTTTTGGTAAAAATCCGGAAAAACTCCTCTCTGGATGTATCTGACCATCGAGCTCACTCAAAGTGAACGCCGACAAAGGTCTACAGCAATATACTAAGACGGTGGTGCGTTCGTGGAAACGAGCCGCGGCTCAACTTGCCGCTCAAGGCGACGTTCTTAGATTTTTAGGCAGTAGATTTCTAAAAACGTTGGCTCGAGGCGAGTCCTTCGTGCCGTTGCGAAAAGAGGCGCTGGCAGCGTCCAAGGATCTTGTTATTGGGGGCGAATCTCCCTATGCCGTGGGTCGTGCGTCCGCGATGTATGTTACAGTAGTCGTCGTAGTAGTATAGGTATACCTACCTCCACGGCCGGACTGGATGAATGGACGGTCGCGCGGACGGATGCAGCTATACGGACGCACGGATGGATGAACGCACAGACGGATGGACGCATGGATGGATGGATGGACGGGTGGACGGATGGATGGACGCATGAACTGTAGCACAGACGGATGGTCGGAAGCAAGAACTAACTCATCATCATAGACTCCGTGGATATGCTGTGATTTTTTTAGTGGCTTTACCGACGTCTAAAGGGACTTCAGCAAGGAGGTTAAATTATTCCGGAGTGCAAGCTCCGGCAACGCACTGCCAGTGAACGTGAAGCCAGCGTTGCCGCCCCAACCACCTTCATTCCCAGAAACGCGCTCTTTTCGTGCCCGCTAGCAGTTTTATTATATTAAAGTGAACGCTAGTTTAATTATAAAATAAAAGATCGTTGTTTCAATACATGTGACTAATACAAATGAGTATTGGTGACTCGGCGTCTGGTTAAATTTGTCAAGATCTTAATGTTTCCTTTAAGGAAACCAGTAATACAAAGAGGCACGTTGAGCAATATAAGTCTTGAAAGTTTCGTCATACTTGACTCGTTTTCCGTACGAAAAATAGCTCCTCGTAGTGCACTCAGGTAGTCTCGGGACGGCTTTCAGCTCTCCCATAGTAGAGTACCAAGTGCTGTAAATCGTCAACAACTTTTTCTAAACACTCCCCGCTGCGGTGCCCCACGCGAGACGCAGGACTTCCTGTTTAAAAAGGCATGGAAAGTGCTGCCTACTAGGCAATACTTGCACAAGTTAGGCATCGTGCCGTACCCCCGCTGCCCCCTGCCAAAGCACTGAAACGCAAAACCACGTGCTCTTCCAGTGCGTTGCGGCAAAACCCGTGTGGCGCATGGTTGCCCATTGCTTCCGAATTCGCCCCCCCCCCCCCCCAGGTCACAACCGAAACAAGGGCGCCTTCGCGCGGCTAGTGGTGTCCTTTACGATGCTCGTTATTTGGCAAAGACGCTCGCTGGCTGAGGCACGCCGTAAACCCGTACGGGCCGCGTACCCAGTACTTTCACGCATTAGACGGCTGCTCTAAGGTTTCCTGTTTAAAGAGTTCGAAGCCAGTGGGGAGGACTTGTTCCTCCGACGCTGGCATACAAGATTCTTTTTCGTAAGGAATGGAAAGCTTCACGCCCCACTAATTACTTACTAACACCCCCCCCCCCCCCACCTCACTTTTCCCCCTCCGCATCCTTGGTCAAAGGACCAAGCCCAACCCGTTATTACCCTAGCAAAAATTCTGATAGAAAAACTGATAGGCTATCAGGTTATTGACAGTTGTATCAGTCTATAGGTGTATCAGTCTATGAGTGTATCAGTCTATCAGTGTGCCAGTCTATCAGTGTACCAGTCTATCAGTGTACCAGTACTCGTGTGCCAGCCTATAAGTGTAGCATTCTACTCTGATAGGCCCACAAGCGAATCGGTGCTTAGCCAACTGGCAGGTGCACCGCTACATCAGAGCAAGCAGGACACAAATATGAACACAGAAATCAAACAAAATATTTTATTTGATGTGCCATTCCTTGGTTAATCTTTTGATTTCATAAAGTAATTAATTTTGTTTGCCAAAGCTTTATTGAGGAGCTTCTTCATTTGCTCAACCTCTCCAATCAGAACGGTGTGCTTCAAAAAAATGGTTGAAGAAATCTGCATGATCAAAAACAAAGCAAGTTACAGGCACTTATTAAGCGACAATTATGTGCACTCTAAATAGAGGAGTCAATATGACAAGGAAATAAGCAGGAGTGCTACCAGTCTGTCTCTCTAATATTGTTTAAAATTAGTTTGTAGATTCTTGCATAAAAATACCCAGCTCCAGTTGGCAAAAGCTACACTTGAAGCTTTAGTAAGTAATTATAACAAAAGTTGGCAGTGAAACCTCGGCTGATTACGTGCAAAATGGAGCCACCAACTTCCAAGAATTTTGGTCAGATTGCAAAATTTTACCTACCTGAAAACACAGCATATGTTTCTTTCTCCTAGGGAGATTTCGCCTCCCCTTTAGACCGATTGGAGGCTGCGCCAGTAACACTTCTACCGACTCGGCCTGCTGTATAAAAAATGGTAACGGCCACCTCGCGAACAAAATGGGTCTGTCTTTTCAAGCCCATGGGGTGATTGTACAACCTCTTGGGAACGGCAATTCCTTTGCTTCGATGCACCTATAAAACAAGTCAAAGATGATGGGCATACATTAGTTTGTCAATGCACATTTTCTCATTAAAGCAAAGCAATATATCTTCAAGACAAAGCATGCTAGAGTTTTATGATACCTCTCTGTCAGTGGGCACATAACTGATAAGCGGTGCAGCCTCCCTCACACTTGAGTGGGCTACTTCAGGGTTGTCCGTGGTCGCTGTGATGGTTCCAGCTTGGCAGCACATAGTGGTGGCAAAGGTGCAAGTCGTTTCTGTTTTTGAGGCTTGCGGCTGCAACACCCGCAAAGGACAAGGTTCTTTGCTGCAATGAAAAAGTAGTGTGTGCAGAAATAAAGTATATTGCACCCTTAATTGTGACGGTAGCATCCTAGGTGTGCATGGTCAAATAATATATATGATAAACATAGCATGCAGTTGAGATATGCAACTAAAGTGTAATGATATGTTGCATGTCACGTCTCAAAACCATGGTGTGATTATAGTGGATGCCGTAGTGGAGGGCTCAAGAAATTTTGACCAAGTGGTGTTCTTTTTAATATCCACCACACTGTGAAAGTTGTAAAAGCACATTTTCAAGTGATTAGAAAAAAACATGCATGCATCCATGCCACCCATGAGCTTGCATTGCATTCTGCTTTTCAGCAAAATTGCACGCTAGAAGAATAGGGCAACTTGCTGCTGCATACAACCCTAGCAGCAGTGCGTTACAACAGCTTATGAAGAAATGATAAAACCTGTTTGGAAATTTTGGCTGCGAAGGGCATTTTCCAGTAGGGTTATTCTTTCTAATGCTTTTGTATTTTGAGCCCTGAGCATATATATTCACTTCTTTCAGAAGCTCTTTCTCTGTTCTTTTTTTCAGCATTAGCAAACAGCAGGCCTCCCTGCTGCTTCTTAAAACGGTTGCTGACGTGCTTTGTCTTCTGCTTAACAGCAGCTTGACGTCGTGTTTCTTACAACTGCAGACAACCCAACACACAAATTTCACTGCTAGTTCGCAAGCACAAACAGGGCGTATATCCGCACAAGCAAAAATAATTTTAAACCAGTCAATTGTACAAAAAAATGTGACTAAGCTGCGCTCATACCACGATAGAATAAAATAAAATCGCTTTTCAGCATACTGCAACTTTACTAATACCTTCAATACGACGTTCCGGCGCTCGCGCAGTAGTGGAGCAGCGATGCTCTGATATATTCGCTAAGGGGGCGGGGAGTATATCAGAGCATTGGTGCTTCATGTGTGACACGGCACCACGTGCAGAGCAAAATTGGCTGTCGATTGTAATTGCGCCGCAGTAGCACATCAGCCGCAATGTCAACGATAGCCAAACTTGGCTGTCGGTAATAATTACGCTGCAAGTAGCATATCAGCTGCAGTGTGACCAATTGCAACTTACTTTTTTAAACGACTCATTGTCCACTTCATTTGAACTGCAGCTATCGGAGGAGTCGCAATCGGGTCTGCGGAATGGATGGTCGTTTTTCTGTTGCATTCCTTGCATCATCCTCGGTGCCTAAGAAAATATGACCAGTAAATAACTTCAGAACGACTGCTTCTTCCTCTTTGTTTTCGTATTGAGAATACAAGAGGCGCGGACTTACCGTAAAGCTTAATCACTTGAGCGTGATAGTGGCCGCAGTGTGTGTTATCATTCCAGAACACCCGGTACCACTTGTGAGGATCAAAATTGCCTGTATCCTTCGGATTGATGTACTTACATGCACTTACCGGGACTATTAATTTTTAATTATCATCGCGAAACCAAACATCTTGGAGAATTGCGAGTGTACAGGCGCGATACTGAGCAATTAAGAGACTTAATAATGTTCACATGCACTACACACGCACCAAGGCCGCCACGAACTTGCTATTGATGACGATGGCAGTGCCATTTGTGGATCTCCCAAGTAGTTTATGCAACCACGAGTCCACGACTTCTTCCTCAACACAACGCAATTTAGTTTTTAAAAACAAAAATATTTACTTGCAAAACAATTACTTCATGTTTTTACAACCTTAGAGGGTAGTTTTTATAGAGCTCACAGCAAATAATATATAAACAATGAATGCAATTACTGTGAAATGGTGACGCTGTGCATAACCTCCGAGATGGCAAACGCGCAATGACGGGGGTAAAGATCGATGTAATCGATCTTTACCCGTTTACTTATTATCAGTCCCGCAGCCTCACTTTGCGTGGACACCATCAAGCGCGCTACTTGAAGTTTGTGTCAAGTTCAACGAGAGATGGATTCAACTCAACCCCAGCCTCGATCAAGAAGAAGAAAAAAAAACGCTATTTGGAGCCTGGATCGCAATATGTAGTACCTCGGACAAGGAGCGGTGGAGGCGCAGTCGGCCAACCAGCTACACTCAGCAAGAGCATTCCTCAGTCTTTAGCTGGTAATTGATGTTCTGGAGTAGCGGCCTTCGACACGTGAAGTCTGAGGGATGCGCATGGTGACAGCAATGAAAATCCTGATCCCGACGACACTTACGACTTCGAGGAAAACTCGCTCAGCGATTCCGACCGGACTGCAGATGCGGCTCGCGACAATGTTGGCATGAGCGACACTTTTTAAATGCAACAATGGCATGTATTTTACACTGGTGCATGTCAATAAACTGCCAGGCTCTGTGTGTGTGCTCATGTGTGTGAGGTTTACATCAAAACTATTCAAGAACCCATCTCACATTGGTACTTGCTCAGAAACAGAGAAAAAAAAGTTGTGCTTGAAGGATGTGGCCAGTGTGATTGCACATGAAAGTTGGATGTGTTTGCTATGTTGCGGATGTACCAAACTTGTTTAAAACTCGTGACATATATAGCCAGTCTAATATGAGTTTAGCAAGGTAGGACAACTAAATGTTGGCTCGATCCTTTCTATTGTTGTTCTCTTCACAACTGAACTTTTCTCATGGTAGGCAGTTTCTTATGTGTCTGTGTGTGTGCGTGTGTGTGTGTGTGTGTGTGTGTGTGTGTGTGCGTGCATGTGTGTGTTTTGCAGTCAAATGCTTTAGCCTTAATTAGTACATGGTTTTTGATTTATCAATCTTGAGAGGATTACAGGCAAGTAATATAGCAGGTCTGTGCCAACGCTTGGGCTTTGTGAAAAGACACACCTGTGAATAACAGATGCTGCTATCAACATATCAGCCAAATCTTGCAGCTGCAAGTGACTTTTTTCATATAGATGACTGTGCTCACTTCGAATTTTCGGATGCCTGTATGTGGTGTAAAACAACTGAAAGCATGCTATTGGCCTATAGCCAAAATAAATCAAGAGCAGCGTTTTAATCGAATGTGATTCTTGCCACAGTGTGCTGCCACATGCTGTCCAAAATCATCTAACATTGCATAGTCACACTCGCACATGGGAATGGCAACACGAAAAAGCTACTGTGTTTCTTCAAGCATGCTCTAGCTCATAATGTGTGCTTACATATCGCACTTCTTTACTGCCATTCCTCCCTGTAGTTTTCGGCGCAGCTTGTTGAGACCGGCGAGAAAAAAAAGAAAGCGGTTGAAGTGCGCAATAAACCCCTCAACTTGCTTTGAAATATTTCTGGCAGTGCATTTGCGAGGTATTAAGTTTTGATGATGAGGTCAATTAATGATTACTCAAAGAAGCATTTCATTGTTTATTTAAATTATCTCATCCAGTATGGATCATGACACTAATGTAGTGGCTCATCATTAAAGGCAGAGCACTATGTGGGAGAGACAGCTGGGGTTGGCTTGTGTTGTGAAACGGAGAAACTGCAGCACCACCCGAGGCTTTCGAATCCACGCCGTTTGGAAAAATTATTGTATCAGCAAGCTCATTTCACAGTAGTGGACTGATTATTAAGTTATCTCCCTTGGAATGTTTACTGGCCCTATAAATTAAAATTTAGAAATTATGTTAATATTGCTCTGTGCTGAGAAGTTTTGTTTGTATTGTTTCAAGTTATGTTTATACTGTCATCTGATAAGCTTTGGATACTAGTATCTTGAAATTTCTAGATGTCATATATCATTGTCAGCATTAACTGTGTTGCTATCTGGCACCTGCAATCCCATTTGTACACAGAATAAAGCGTTCATCTAGGCTGAAAGCTGCTTTGCATATTTAAAGTTCAGTTTGTCAATTATGCACCACCATGAAACATTGTACATTTTATTCTACGCATCCAAAAGCTGCCAGTTGCACTCTTTGAGTCATCATAATATTTCACACAATGGTCATCAAGTGTTCAATAGAAAACACTGATACACTAATATACATGCAGAAATGACATATATGTGTGGGCAGTGTGTTCAAAAAAAGAAGTACCGTTAAAATGACAGTAATGCATCTTGATTGATTTGTGGGGTTTAACGTCCCAAAACCACCATTTGATTATGAGAGACGCCGTAGTGGAGGGCTCCGGAAATTTTGACCCCCTGGGGTTCTTTAACGTGCACCCAAATCTGAGCACACGGGAATGCATCTTGAAGATCCGGTAAATGAACAAAAGACTAAAAACCTAAAGACTAATATATGCCATAGAAATGACCAATCAAACTTATTCAAAAGCTGGTAGCACTGGTAAGACTGTGTATCAGTCTGATATGAGACTGGTAGCACTGGTAAGAAAATGTATCAGACTGATATGAATGTCTATAAGAACTGGTAAGACTTTGTATAAGTCTGGTACAAGACTGGTACAACTTATAGGAAACTGTATCAGACTGATTCAGACCTCTATCAGAATTTTTGCTAGGGTATTAGATATGTACATAGGTTAGCGCATTCTTTTCATGCATATACGGTATATGTAACGCAGTATATTTGTATATGTATATTTGTACATACTTATATTGCACATGTTGATTCGTACGCGTGGGAAAAAAAACTGTTCATAGTGTAAATAT